GAATGGGGGTGGTGTGACATTAAGTGTTAAGGGCCTGCACAAGACTTTGCAGACCACATAAAGTCTGCGTAGGGGGATGCTTAGTGTTTGTGACGCGGTGGGCTAGGCCCAGAGGCCCCAGCTGGAGGCTTCGGGGTCCTACTACACCCCATCCCAGAAAGGAGCAGTAGAGAAATCGTCCCGGCTGCCTAGAGTGGCTGTGGGAGGAAGTAGCCAATCAGAGAGGTTGCATGAAGCAGCCAATCAGGGCCCAGCAGGGCCATATAAAAGAAGCTGCAGTGCTAGAGTCAGTCAGTTGCTGGAGGGTGAGGACCATAATGCATGTCAAAAATAGTGGCTAAACAAGAGCCATCTGACATTTGTCAAAGGCTCACAAGAGGCTGTTAAAGTCAGGGGTGACAGGCATAAGTATTGTCATGGATTAGAAACTGGCTATGAAATAAGAACACATCAGGAATGTGCGGACAGATTTCAGTGTGGCAGAGGGTTACATGGGAGGTCGCAGTAGGGTGGCCCAAGATCTATTTTAGCACAATTAATTTAATGTATTCATTAATGAGCTGGGAAATAGTGAAAAGAGAGGTGGCAAAATTTGCAGATGATGCACAATTTAGACTATTCAGTAGAGAAGACAGGGAGACACTTCACCTATCCATTTCACAAATGGGCAGTACAATGGCAAAAAAAAACATGGTTTGCAAATACACATAAGAAGGAATAATAACTACACTTCCACCTTACTATGTTCTAAATTAACTGTAACTGCTCAAGAAAAAGGCCTGGGCATTATTGTGAACAGCTCAGTCAAAAATAGACTTTCAAAGTGCAGTAGTAATTTTTGTTTGTTTGTTTTAAAGGTAGAATGTATAAAAATGAATGGAAGACAATGTCAACATATTATAATGCCACTTTGTAGAAATCTATGGTACACCCTCACCTGGAATACTGTGTTCTCAGAGGCATGGAAAGATTTTCATATAAAAGAGGGATTGAACTGGGGTTCTCAGAAAGACTGGAGCTATGAGTAGACACTATACGTTAGAGAGACAAGGTGGGTGAGGTAATATCTCTTATTGAACCAACTTCTGTTGGTGAAAAAGACAAGCTTTTGAGCTACACAGAGCTCTTCAGGTCTGGGAAAGGTACTCAGAGTATCACAGCTAAATACAAGGTGTCAGAGGCAGGAACTAGATTATATGGACCTGATATGGCAGTTCCTCTGTTCCTAATTAAGGGGGAACTACTCTGTGTCCCTGGCATGTGTGCAAACACTCTTACAGTACGTCCATCCTTAAAAAGGCATTTGACATTCTAGTCCAAGATCTCCCTTCCTATGGCAGATAGTGTACCGGTGTGATAGTTGCCAAGTGTGTGGGAGATTAGGAAATGCTTGAAATGCAATGCTTTTTAAACAATATAAATTAATTAAAAGTTGTTAGGCACTATAGCCTGCAGGACTGATGTCTCATTTTTAGTCTTGTAACACTTATATAGCACCACTGATTACAAATGCATTTGAACTTCATTCACTTCCACAGTTAAATTTAAAAAGATCAAGAGTAGCAGTCACATGTGAAAGTGTTCTGAGTTACTGCTTGCATAGCTAACAAACCTTTCAGATCTGTGATCCAGTGATTTGTACTACATTACTGCACTCTTGGTTTCAAAGCAATTCATACTCATTAGTAGGAAAAGTTAAATGCTAGTTTCAGACTGGTCGTGGAGGGAATAAGGAATATATCTACAGCCAATGTGAAAATTATCTGCCCTTGTTAGGCTATCATGTTTTACACTTAGAGCTCTTATTAATCTGTAGTGATCTTTATTTAAAAAGAGGATACAACCATAATTTTCATTCCTCCTCTTATAAACTGGGCATAGGGAAGGGACAGCTAAGAAAGATACATCCCTGCCCCATTACCTGACATTTTATTGTTTGATGTGTATGTTAAATAAATACATAGATGCTGAGTAACTCTGACACCAGTGGAGTCAAAACAACAATGAATTAGGTACATAGTGTGACGGGTTGGATCACAGAAACCCCCTGGGAGCTGTCACCTGATGTGCTCGGACTACTTCTACCCCTGTTTTCCCTGCCAGCTCAGGACTCCAGCACCCTGTCTTGCTGAGCCAGATACTCCGGTCTGCTCCAACAAAGACCCAGGGTCTGAATTACTTGCCCCAGAGCTGCAGGTTTACCTGAAAGCAGCTCACAGAAGTGTTCCTGTCTTTAACACTCAGATGCCCAACTCCCAATGGGGTCTAAACCCAAATAAATCCGTTTTACCCTGTATAAAGCTTATACTGGGTAAACTCATAAATTGTTCGCCCTCTATAACACTGATAGAGATATGCACAGTTGTTTACTCCCCCAGGTATTAATACATACTCTGAGTTAATTAATAAGTAAAAAGTGATTTTATTAAATACAGAGAGTAGGATTTAAGTGATTCCAAGTAGTAACAGACAGAACAAAGTAAGTCACCAAGCAAAATAAAATAAAATGCGCAAATCTATGTCAAATCAAACTGAATACAGATAAGATCCTCACCAGTTCCAGAATGCTCCCTTTTACAGACTAATCTCCTTTTAGCCTGGATCCAGCAATCACTCACACTCCTTGCAGTCACTGCCCTTTGTTCCAGTTTCTTCCAAGTATCCTGGGGGGTGGTGATGCTCTCTCTTTAGCCAGCTGAAGACAAAATGGAGGAGTCTCCCAGGGGTTTAAATAGACTTTCTCTTGTGGGTGGAGACCCCCTCCTCACTCCTATGCAAAGTTCAGCTCCAAGATGGAGTTTAGGAGTCACCTGAGGAGGTCACATGTCCATGCATGACTCACAGTTTTTACAGGTAGCATCCATTGTTTACATGCTACCTTGAATGTCCTCAAGTAGACTTCTTATGTGGATTGGAGCCTTCCAAGATCCATTGTCCTTTAAGTGTTTCTTGATTGGGTACTTAATTTCAACATTCCTTTCTCCAGGAACTGACCAAATGCTCTACTAAGATTATTTAGAAATCAAGCCAGTACACAGCCAATATTCATAACATTCATAACTTCGAATACAAAAATGATACATGCATACAAATAGGATTAAAACATTCAGTAGATCATAACCTTTGAGATATGTTACATGGCATCTGTAGCATAAAACACATTCTAAGCATATTTCCATAAAGCCTTATGGGAGGTACCGTCACACATATGTCCAGATTTTTAAAAGTATTTAGGTGTCACTGTGCTTAGGATTTAGGAACCTAAATCTTATTTTAAAAAGGGATGGCACCTAATGCTTAAATCCCTTTTGAAAATGAATTTTAGGCTCCTGAACCAGTTAGATGTTGCAATCCCTGAGTGCAGCAATACCTAGATTCCTTTAAAAAATCTGGGTCATAATTTTTAACAGTAATTCTAAAAGTTACCAGGTCTTCTGTGTTTTGATCTAGTTAAAAATCTATTCAGGATCTTCATATAGAAAACATATTTTTAAGGAATACATGTAAAGTACACAAAATGTCAAACTTTTTTCCATTTCAGAATCCTGTTCTGTTGGCATAGGTGGTGTCAAGGAAGAACAACGGCAGTGCCAATTGCAATGTAACAACAATGGCAACCATCTAGGATACTGTGCTGTGTCATTTCATTAAGTTTTAATATACTGGTAGTTTAGGAAAGTGTCAAAAGTAGCTATTTCCCATTTGCAGTAGGTGTTTTGCAAAGTTAATATCTTGGCTGTTTTAAAAATAAATTTCTTTTAAAATACCAAAGGGAAGAATTTACACTAATGCTTTTTTAAAAGCATTTTATTTTAACTAGAGTTAATTAAACAGGCACCTGTTCTTTTTCCCCCTGCTCCTAACAAAAAAAAGTTACCAATTAACTCATTTAAAAAAATAGAGAGGTTTAATGAGCAGATTTAGATTAACAACATATATGTTAATGTTTCAACTAGATAAATCTTTGAAGTGACAAAGAAATTCAGCTGCAAAATAGAAGGTTTACAATGGCTGGGCAGAGAGACTATTAACTACTGTATACAACAGATGTCACTATAGTTAATGTGTCACTATAAAAGCCCACGTTAAGGAAACAAGAATGTCCTCTCCCCACACTCTATTTGTGGCTGCGTTTTTCAGCAGAGATGCCGTGGTGACTCTAGCTTAGTGTTTTTTTTACTGGAATTCATTTGGGTTGTGTATTTTTGGCTCTTGGGTCTAAGTTTCACATGCAGCACCACACAAAGTTCATCCTTATAAGTCATAGTAGTTGTTAGTAGTCAGTGGGGAGAGGAAAAACACTTGTATGCTGGATTTCTTTAAAGAGTAATTCCCAAAGATGTTTGACTTTTTATATATTTGCATTACAGTGTGTGCAAATATTTTCATTGCTTCTTTTGAAGGCTAGACTGGGCTGATACAGGGTGGCACATAGCTGTGGTGCCTCAGGAACAGTGCAAGGAAGGAGTTGTGCCTCAGAGAGGCCTGGCCAATTCCTTTCCTGTTCTACCCTCGCCCCTGGAGGTGGGGTACGAATCTATTACTGGCCTTCATCAATAGCAGGTAACTAACCCCCTCCTCTGCACTGGTTAAGCTGAACTGATTGGTGCACTGCGATGGGGGAGGAGCCATGGCCAACCCATCTGTCAAGGGTAGGAGTAATGGGTGTACGGAACCTATTTACCCCAATGTACTCATGCCCAGGAGGTAGGTAGGCCATTTAGAGGCTGAAAGGAAGGTGTCTTGTTCTCTTTTATGCCACCAACAAACCACACAGCCTAGCCTGTGGTCTAGCCCTTAATAATTGTTATCCAGCCACATAGCCACAAAAAGGGTGATGAAGAGATCATCTGATTTTTCTAAAGAGGGAGAATTTGAGAATACCTTGGTGATTTTTCACAAAGACTCTGTGGTCCAGCCTAAAATCCAAACAGACTAGACTGAGACATCCCTACCTGGTCAGTGTTTTGATGTATTTCCTGTACATGTCTCTTTGTCAGGAATGAAAAGAAATATATGAACAGATATTGGAAAGAAGTAGAAGTTGGCGACTTTGTTCAGCTTCGTTGTAATGAAATCATACCTGCTGACATATTGCTGCTCTCTTCAAGTGACCCTGATGGGCTGTGTCATATAGAAACTGCTAACCTGGATGGGGAGACCAATTTAAAACAAAGACAGATAGTGAGGAGATTCTTAGAGTTGGTAAGTCAACATCTTTCATTTTTATTTAAGATAATGGTTTGTTTAAACTCAATAAGTGATTCACCAGTCCAGAACCACACCAATCAATTAACCTTTCTTCTTCTAGCAGGACTGGTGCTCCCCTGCAATTAGAATTAAACTGCTAGTATATGCCAACAGTTACCTCAGATACCATTATGCAGTTATTGCCACATTCTTTGAAAATGGAGATATTTGGTAATTGTGTGGGGCAGGCAAACGTTACTTTTTTTTAATGACTTGTATTTTGGTTTTTGTATCACATTTTTAACTGTTCTTTCTGTAGATAGTTTTCAACATAGAAAATAACTATTTTTCATGTCTGTGGGCCAAATCACTTTCAGTTGGAAATTCTACCTAAAAATCCATGTCCCAGTATGTCCCTCTAGCTTTAATGGTACAGCATGCATGTATTTTAATGGTGTATTTTCAGCCGGCGAGAGCACAAGCTACAAAAGTTGCCTCACTGCTCTCTTGTCGGCATTCATCTCTCCACGACAACATTGTGCATGCAAATAAACAAACAAACCCAGGAGGTCAGAAATAGGAGGTGCTTTGTATGAAATGATTGGAAAACTAGCTTGAGGTTTACTTAATCTAGCAATCGTACTTGAGTATTAATTATATGTAACATAGTGATAATAGCACTGCTCTAACTCACAGAGGTGCTGTGATTGTGAGGCACTCCAATACTGCAGTAATGAGGCCCATTTAAGTACCAAATATAGATTGAAGTCAAAGACAAAACTGGCATTTATTTCAGTGAAAGCCCCCCCCAAGTCAAATATTGAAAAAGAGTTCCAAAGAAAACAGCACATGACTACCTCCTCCTAGAATAACTCAGAAAGCACTAAATACCCAATTCCTGGTTTCAATGTCAATTAAGTTGTCAGCAGCGTGCATACCTGCAATTTCAAAGTCTAGGGCAACTGCAGCATCCTGTAATTCCCTCAGCAATATGCTAGCAGTCCTTATTAAAGTACTGGCCAAAACCCCTGGCATGTGACGTCACTATATGTGTTTCACTAATATAAGAAGAGTCTTTACAACCTTTGAAAAACTTGCCCTGGTGCGTGTTGAACAGTGATATGTCAGAGGCAGTTCCTTTGAGTCACTTTTTAGACAACCAAATGACTGGGAAGATTGGGGTGGGTTCTCTGTTCCTAAAATGATGTTCACCCCTTCTCTGGACCCAGCTGAATCATCCCCACCAGAGATGGTTTATTCTTGGGGCTCAGAAATATGTTTCTGAAGAACATATTTTTTCCACCAAGTGTTATAAAAGAAATCCCATGGGAGCCTGTCCCCAAATTCCCTATGAGAACTCCATCCCACGCCATTAATTCATTGGAGCTGAATGCTGCTACATTATCAGTATGTACAGTAAAATTAGTCTTAATATGTCTGTTGCCATGTGGCACTGGCTCATTCCACAGCACTCTTGTTTAAATGGGAAACAAACGAATAGATTGTGCAGTCCTTCCTCCCTCCTCTTTATAGAACACACACGTCACAGGGCAAGATGTGGGAACCCATTGTTAAAATATCAGCAGCACATCACAGGATTTGAGCTAACATTCCCGTAGCAAGCATTGAGAAAGATTTAATGTCAATGATTTTTTTCTTAAATGTGTGAAGTAGGTCAAGAAGTACTATGATTTCCATTTTACAGACAGGGACAAGTTCTTTAGCACCCTTTCCTGTGCTGGGCATGAGGAAGAGAGGAGGTAGCATGCCACATGGGATGGGAAAGCCACTTTTATGACTCCCTAATTCTGTCCCAGTTCAGAGTCCCTACCTTGTCCCCACCCATGCAATTTACAGCATGCCAGGTCTGCCCTAAGTTGCATGCCATAAAGAGCCATGTCACCAATACAGACTAGCCAGAGTGCAGTGCTTGACACGCATGCCTCTTCTAGACCCCAACACACTCTCATTTGTCAGGGTCAGACTGAGGAGCCTGTGCAGAGCTGTTATGCCAGCTCTATATTGGTCTGAGAATTCCCCTGCAAAGAGGGGTGATCTTCCAGGGCAGTCTATACCCCCTTTATGGCCTCTACACATTCCATACGGCGTATACAGGGCCCAGAGAGTGACTTTCCCAAAACTAGAGATGGTCAGTATTCCTGGCTGCCAGTCCTGTGCTCAGAAAACACCGTTTTCTTACCGGAACAACATCTGTCCACTAGAGATTGGATGGTTCATTTGTCAGCAGTACTTTGAATCACAGCAAGCAATTACAATGGCAGTCCTGAGACTGAGGATGCAGCACTTTGCAGGCCTTATCACACTCTAAACCAGGGATCAGCAACCTCTGGCACGTGGCTCTCCAGGGTAAACACCCTTGCGCGCCAGACCGGTTTGTTTACCTGCTGCGTCCGCAGGTTCGGCCGATCGCGGCTCCCACTGGCCGTGGTTCACCGCTCCAGGCCAATGAGGGCTGTGGGAAGCGGCGTGGGATGAAGGATGTGCTGGCCGCCGCTTCCCGCAGCCCCCATTGGCCTGGAGCGGTGAACCATGGCCAGTGGGAGTCGCGATTGGCCAAACCTGCGGACGTGGCAGGTAAACAAACCGGCCCGGCCCACCAGGGTGCTTACCGTGGTGGGCCGCATGCCAAAGGTTGCTGATCCTTTGGGGGGAGGGATAACTCAGTGGTTTGAGCATTGGCCTGCTAAACCCTGGGTTGTGAGTTCAATCCTTGAGGGGGCCATTTAGGGATCTGGGGCAAAAATCTGTCTGGGGATTGGCCCTGCTTTGAGCAGGGGTTTGGACTAGATGACTGTCTGAGGTCCCTTCTAACCCTGATATTCTCTGATTCTATGATCCCTGCTCTAAACAAATGTGCAGAAGGCGCATGAAGATCCTAGAATTGTTTCTGCAGCATTTGTGGCCGTCTATTGGTCTTCTCAGCTGGTGAATCCCAAGAACCTAATTTTTATGATGGAGTAACTAGAAATATAAATTATTTCAATTCTGCCTTGATTTATCTGAATAATAATTAGTATGTTGGGAACATTATTGTTACTTAGTATTGTTTGCATGTTAATAAATGTGATACTTCTGACATAAAACCTATACTTTCTGTATATGATCATACGTCCCATTGATACTCAAACTGTGAAATCAATCCTTGACGCTGTACACGATTTTAATTTCATGGGCTGTATTGCCATTTCTCTGGCTTTTGAAGAATCTAATTTGAATGTGTGATTCTTTGGTATATATTTACATCAGGTAGGCTAGCAAATAAACGATCACTCAAGCAAGTAGGTGAGAGATTCATTTGTGTAATTACAGTTTAAAGATCTGATTCTCCTGAAACCAATCAATATTTGAAGTGCTACTGCACAGTAATTGAGTTTACTAATCTTTTTTCCTCATTTTGCCATAAATTTATAAGAGGCAATTTCTTTTTTTTTTTAAATTTACTGATTTGCACTTAACCAGTAGTTTTTATTTCAGTATCCCTGTATGTCTGATCTTATGTAAACAAATCTTTGGAGAACAATTCTATTTAAAATGAATAAAGCAGCTCATGAAATGGAATATTTCAGAATTTTTTATTTTTCTTATAGCTTGTCATGATGCTCAGTGCTGGGTTTTTTTTAATGGTTCTTCTGGGAAGGAAAATATAGGGAGAGATTTTTCAAAGGCATTTGTGCCTTTGAAATTCTCCCCCTTAATATTTAGGTACTGTAGTCTCCGGACCTAGATACTATGGAGATTGGTATATTCAAAAACCTTAAAATAATCAGAAATTTCCTTTCATATAATTTGCCTTTAGATCAGAAAAAAAAAAGGGGATTTCTTTCATACTGGGGCATGGATCAGATCAATGTGTGTATTGAGACACATTGGAAAGTTAAGCTGAGAATACTTTTCTATACCCAAGTTTTGAGTGACCTAATGTTCTAGCAGTGAACAACCAGGACTCTTTTTGGAAAAGCTTAGTGTATCTTGGTGGTATACCAAGTTCCTGTTAAACTCTAACCCACCCTATTTGTTCTTTATGTCACAGCAAACATTTGAGTGTGCTGTACCTAATAGGAGCCACATTGTGCAGGAAAAATCAATGTGTTTTCTGTATTACTGTGCAGGCTGTTTTACCACCACACCCTCTATAATTGCTTATGGAATGTTGTACATGTGTTTAAAATATTTTGTCCAACCACTCTTCTGAGAGTGGCTAAGCAGATGCAGCCTTCATTACAGGGATCAATCCTTCCTTTCAGGTTTCATAAGGATGATTTAGAATATTTTGCTAGTATTAATCTAAACTCACGAAAAACATTTACATTCTTAATGCACTGCAGAATGAAACAACCCAAATATTTGTATTTAGTGTGTTCCTAACAAAATCCACAAAGGCTCTTTTAGATATTGTTCACCAGATTATGGTTCATAAAACCACTGGCCATGTTGTGGGACATAGGTGGAGGGCATCAATTCAGCAGGAGCCCCGGGACAAGGCTCTGGGGGGAGTGCATATTGGAGCAGCAGCGGCACCACCCTTTGAAAAGCTGGACTGTGTTCCTCTTCATACCTGGCCAATGGAGGATCAAGTCTTAACCCCTGCCCTCTTTCTTTCTGAAGAGCTGGGCCTTGTCTATACACAGTCGTGTACTAGTTTGATTAAATAGATTTAGATGAAGTGGTTCTGCTAAACCAGTGAAAATTCCTGTGTGGAGGCACATTTATTTTGGTTTATTTTGGACACTTTGGATTCACACTTTCCTGTTTCAATTTAACTTAAGTCAGTAAAAAAATCAATTTGCAAGTCCTAATCAACTTAAGCTAAACTGGAAATAAACATGGTCTAAACCTAAATAAAAGCATCCACACAGAGCCTTCTGCATTGGTTTAACTAAACCAGTTTAAAGTAACTCCTAAAGCTAAACCAGTGCAACTGCACACATAGGCTACGTCTACACTACGGGAGGGGGGATCGATTTCAGATACACAAATTCAGCTACGGGAATAGC